AAACAAAGGGAGGTGGGATTGATGAAGATCTACAATGATGATCATGCAAGAAGTAAGTTAGAGTTCTCTCCCCGTTAAGGAATTGTGAGAGGATTTGGCATATGAATGAAGGATTTGGGAGGGTAAGCAGTTTAGGTTGTTAAAATACAGGTACAGACAGTGATAAATAGTGTGAGCATGGCCTCTGGATTCCTGGGAAAGGGTAAATGGACCAGCTATCAGCACGAGTAGTCGGTAGGCATAGCCCCTGTGATGGAGAGATGATAGCTGGCTGGGGCAGATGAGGAGGTAAGCGGTGGGAGGGGCTGGCCCATACAAATCAGCACAGGCTGTGTGTGAAAGGTAGTTTGGAGAAGAACTGAAAAAAATCCTCTGCAAAAATGAGTCCTGACTGCATCCTGGAGAGAACTAAAGTAAGACCATGCAAGTAAGTTCCAGGACAACTGGCAGCCTGACCTGAGAAGCAGATGTCCCACCAAAATTTTGCATGTAAATCAGGGAAAGTGAGTGAGGGCATTTAAGAATGCTCTGTGATCATATACATGATACGGCAAGTAGGTTTCATCCCCAATACGAAAAACCATACTAAATGATCTCTAATACTGAAAAACCTCTGTGAGGCAATCATTACCGTACCCATTAATAGGGAGGAAACTCTTGGAGGAGAGAGACTAAGTGATGTGCCTGAGCTCAGATAGCATCTAGTGATAGATGGAGTCAGGATCTAATTCATTCGTCTGACTCCAAATCCCTCCCTCCCACCTCGTGCCCTTCAGTGAGTTAAACAGTGATAGGAGTGTGTGTGTGTATGTGTGTTTGGCTTGGAGGTGTGCAACAGAAGGGGAATTTGGTGGCACAGTAGTTATGTGCTCGATTGCTAACAGAAATGTTGGTGGTCCAAATCCACCAGCCACTTCCTGGGGGAAAGATGTGGCAGTTAGCCTCAGTAAAGATTACAGCCTTGGAAACCTTATGGGACAATTCTACTCTGTCCAATAGGGTTGCTAGGAGTCAGAGTCAACTCGATGGCAACAGGTCAGTGGGTTATATAATTTTGGAATCTATAGATTCTGAAGGTTGAATTTCCCATTCTTGGTTTTTTAAAGTGAAGTCAGCAATTTCCCTGGCTTTTGCTTCATGAATGCATTGGAAAATTTGATGATTGGATAGAACTCTACCAAATACCAAATGCTATAAATAAATTATGCTTAAAAATATGTACACAGCCTCAGCAAGGCCACGGTGTTTCTACAGAAAACATTTCAAAATAAAAGTGCAAAAAAATGAATAGTTCAGGGATTCATAAATAATCTTTTATATTTAATCAGAATACAGATTCAGAATAGCTCAGATGTTTTACCTTCTTGGGGGGAAAAGGTAACGAACCTGTAAAAGAAATGGACCTAAAATAAAAAATGCAGTTAACAAAGCAAATTCATCTGGGTAGGCTGATTCCAGTTTCCTTTCTAGGTCACAAGTAATTTGAAGGAAAATCATTCTTGCTTGTGAAATATTGCCAGCCTGTAAGATTTGAAAGTCAAAGGCATTGTCTGGGTTTTCAAAGTTTCTATCTAAGTCCTTGGGACAGGTGATATTGAAATAAATAAGATCAGGGAAAAGGTCCAACAAATTTAAGAGACTATATAATGCTACGTGGAAACCCTGGTGGTGTAGTGGCTGAGAGCTATGGCTGCTAGCCAAAAGGTTGGCAGTTCAAATCCACCAGGTGCTCCTTGGAAACCCTATGGGGCAGTATTACTTTGTTGTATACAGTTGCTATGAGTTGGAATCGACTTGCCAGCAGTGGGTTTGCTTTTTGGTTATAATGCTACATGAAAAGAACACACTAAGAGAGTAACAACTTGTGCTGTAGGTTTTGTTTGTTTTGTTTTATTTTATCTGTTTGTTTTGCTACTTGAATACTTCTTAGACCTGTTGTGACCACATGGGATTTCAGGCTGCTGGAGTGTAGTTGAACTATCTTTGGTGACCATGAAATTTACTGGGGAACAGGTCTTAGTACAACACTAACAATTGGATGATATTTTGTTACACATACTCCTATTCTTCTGCCTTTCAAAGCAAACAATGCATTTCAATTTAATGTAACCAGAGATTTGAATGCTTAATTCACTGTCACAGTGAGTGCCTTTTTGCTTAGTCTAAAGGTTTCTCGTGTTTATGATGAAGAACTGAAGTTACAGACCTAAGCAATCATGTTTTAGGAAAATATAAACTTCATTCAGTATTTATTTAGTTGCTTCTTCTCAAAGGGTTTTCTGGTGGACTTTTTTTTTCAGCGGGACATGAGAAGTGTTTTTACATGACTTAATGTGAGGCTTACTCATCACATTTTCTCAGAAGTATACAAACGTCAATAGTGTAGTCACTATTTTCCTATTTGCTCTGTGGCAGTGAAAAACTTAAGGTATTTTCTCCCAAGGTCTGATAAATACAAAATTTTAAACCTTATACCAAAACCCATTGTCATCGAGCCGATTCCAACTCATAGCGACCCTATAGGACAGAGTAGAACTGCTCCACAGGGTTTCCAAGGAGCAGCTGGTGGATTCAAACTGCCAAACTTTTGGTTAGTAGCTGAACTCTTAACCACTGGGCTACTAAAATCTTATATGGTATGTATATATTATGCACATGCTAGATATGTGTTTGTGTGTGTGTATGTGTGTATGTATGTTGGAGGGTATGTAATTGTGTGCAGGCTGACCCATGGTTTTTGTCTTTGCTTGGCATTACAAATAGGTCAAATCCCACATAAAATTTCAAAAACGATTTTTTTTTTTTTTTTTAAGATTATGATGCTGAGGCATAAATTTTTCTAGGAGGTAATATTTTATAAGACAGAATTATGAACTGTTCTTCTGAGGAAACCACCAGTAATCTTTGTAACTGTTTATAATACACATTTGTACATAATTTCAGGGAAAGAGAAGTTACTTTGTAGTCAGGCCATGTGATTCCAATACATTTTTTAGATGTGGTTTATTATATGCAGTATACTATTTAATATGATTTCTAAACCAAGATACAAAGGCCACATTGGAAAACTTATTAAAAGATCTTATTCAGACCAGAATCCTCTAGGAAGTCTAATAAAAAAAGATGTCATTTAAAAATCCAAAACTTTTTTTTATGATATCTAGAATTTTCTTATATGTTGCCATGCAATTTTTTCCTTAGAGTTTCCCGGGGACTAAAAATTATAACTACTGAGAAACAAAATGGGTATGTTTGTAGCTGAACCAAAGAAAAGCATGTTAAAATGGATCAAGCTGGCCCCCAAACTAAGCTCCCCCCACCCTTAGTTTGCTGTTTCCAGAGCTGATTTGGGAATGCCAGCACTGAAGGGAAGGAGGAAGAATTTTCCTCCAAAGATCTAAACCTTCAGCATAACTATCGGCATTTTCTCCCGTAGATGCACTCCTGCCACACAGCATCCTTGTGCAAACTCTACTATTTAAGTTAAAAAAAAGAAAAATACATTTAAAATATGGTAGTCTGAAGGACACTCGGTACAAAGTCTTTATAGCATAACTGAGTTTGAGTTCAGATACTTAACTGATCTTTCCTTGGTGACCAGTTATGTATATATACTTCTGCAGCAACATGGGTAAAGTAAGAGAAATGCTAGTACTCCAGGGTAAAGGAAAATAGGAAGGGAAAGCCCTGGGACGTGGATCTGGATATTGAGCCTGCTCCTGGCAAAAACAGAGGGTGAGAGGAAAGTAGGGGAATTGTGGGTGAGGCATTTAAGCAAAGGTCCAGCCTGCTCACTAGGCCAACACAGGCTGTGAAAAAGAGAACTCTGGAAATGTGGAAACTTAGGATTCACTTGACTCAGCTGACCCGTGGACTGGTTGGCAGGGAAGGACGTGGTTGGACAAAGAGGAAGAACACTAGCGACCCTTGGTGTATATCAACATGCTGGATGAAGTTTGAGAGTTCTGAAAGCACGTTTTTGTGAAAATTCTGAATAACAGTTTTTAAACTACATTTGGGAGTGTTATTTTACCCAATGTAGGTATCAAATTTGAAATTTGACTCTTGTTTTTATTATTCTATCTCTTTTTTTTTCTTCCCATCCTTTTACAGGTCCCCCCAAAAAATGTGGGTAGCAACTTGGCTAGGTCATGGTTCCCAGTATTGTATGATTGTGTTATCTGATGTGATTTTCCTTATGGTTGTAAACTCTACCACTATGATAAGATTATATGTGATCATAAATTCTATCACTGTGATGAGGTTATACTGATGAGGTCGACAAGATTAGTGTCTTAATGCAATCTCTTTTGAGATATAAAAGAGAGAAGCGAGCAGAGACACATGAGAACCTCATACCATCAAGAAAGCAGTGCCGGGAGGAGAGTGTGTCCTTTGGACCTGAGGTTCCTGCGCAGAGAAGCTCCCAGACCAAAGGAAGATTGATGACACAGACCTTCCTCCAGAGCCAACGGAGAAAGCGCGTTCCCCTGGAGCTGACGCCCTGAATTTGGACATGTAGCCTACTGGACTGTGAGAGAATAAATTTCTCTTTGTAAAGCCATCCACTTGTAGTATTTCTGTTGGAGCAGCACTAGATGACTGAGACAGGGTGTGTGTGTGTACGGGGTGTGTATACGGGAGGGGTGTGACTATCAGAGACTGTGTGTGTGTGGTGTGTGTGTGTGCGCGCGCGCGCGGGCGCGCGCGCGCGGGCGTGCACGTGCGTGTGCGCACGCGCGCGCGCGCGCATGTGTATCGGGGAGGGGTGTGACTCATTTTCCCTTCTCAGGGTCCACTGCCTCTACGGCGCCCACGTGGCAAGGGCAGATTGCATAGCTCTCCCTCGGCTCTCGGGCCCTCCCTCCAGCCTTCCCGGGCGCCGCGCGGTCCTCCACCGCCAGGGGGCGGGCGCGGCTCTCCCGTGCCAGGGGCCCATTCGTCACGGCGGGGACGTGGGGGAGAAGGCCCAACGGCGAGTTGGCTTCCCCGTGGCCGCTCGGTGGGTGAAGGGAAGTGGTGGAGCCCGAAGGAAGCGTCGGAGCGCGGGGGAGGCGGCGGCGGCTCCGTCGGCCTCCGGCAAAACTGAGCGCGGGCAGGCCGGAGCGGCAGACCGGCGCGCACGGCGGAAGCTGGTGAGACGGATGGGGAGGTGGACGGAGCCGCCGCCGAGGGCGCGGGGAGCGGACATCCACCTTACCTGCACCTCGAGACACCCGCTGTCCCCGCCGGGGGTGGGCCCCGGCACGCTTGGGTCGCCGTGGGGAGGGAGCAGGCAGCGCCGGGTCCTGACCGCCGCCGCGGCATCGCCGCTCTGCGTGCCCTACCCGGGCTCGGCGGCGCCTGCACCTGGCACCGGCTCCGCGCTCTGGCCTCGGGGGCACCTGGAGCGCGCGTCTGTCGGGGGGCTCCGCTGCCGCTCTGAGATGCAGGCTGTGCTCCAGAGAGGCGGGGATGCAGTGGGTGTTGCTTTCTCACTCCAGAGAGCCGCCTTGGCTCACTTGTTAAGTTTTAGTGTCCCCTAAACTGGGGGTACTTTGGACCTTTAACACCCATCCAGCCCTTTGATGTTCGCTCGCTGTCATTCATGGATGTGCGATTATTTCTTTTTTGATCATTTGCTGTTGTCCTTACAGTTCTGTACCATGTAGGAGAATGCTAGTGCCCCTAGATCTAAATAGTGTGAGTGATGGATTGACAATTTCAGATGGAGATCTCCGGGTGTGAATTTGTGTGTTTTATCGCTCTCCACCTTTTTGATTAACTTCCGTGTGGTACGGAACTTATCTAATTAAGAGAACATTTATTTCTTTTTATTTAATTAAAAACATATTAGTCCGAGGCCTGGGATCTAAAGAGTGCTTGTATAAAAGATACAGTGACACTAGATAATAGTGGTTACTTAGTATTACTAGACACTGCTGAGTGCTTTCATATGCACGTTTATTTAATTCTCACAGCAACCCAGGGAGTAACTTCTTTTATTTCTCTAGCAGTTTTATAGATGACAGTATAAACAGTCAGGTTAAATGAAGGTTGATGCTGATTGCAGATCCTTGATCCTTGAACCATTCACATCTTGTTGGACTAGTGGTATACTCTCACATTTCCCAAGGTTTTGGAAATCTTATCTGTTATTTATACATTCCATTATGGAGGTCAAAGAGATTTCCATTTAACTTAGAAAATAAAAGTTAATAACTTACCTGATGCCATTGAACAGGAAATTGACATAATCAACATCCGGTTTCTGGTCAGATCATCAAATGTACCTCTTTCTAGAGGCTGCCAGTCTCTTTGAGTTCTCTGTTTATTAATTAAATCACAATTCTTTCCAATTTTCTGCAGGTGTTACAAGCTTTCTTCAGAGGTTCTGTGTAACGTTATCTCATTGAAGAATAGCATGTATTTTAGTAAGAAATAAAAAGAGTTCAAAGCAGCGATTCTCAACCGTGGGACTTCTCAGAATCAACAATGGTGTTTTTTTAAAAGGACCCAGACCAAGGTTCCCTGAAATCCCTATTGTAGGGAGCTAAGACTGAGAGTCCCTGGGGTAAAATAATTTTCAGGTAGAACTTTGTAGATGTTTTACTACAATTCAGTTACAAAGTTTTAATATGGGTTGCTCCCTTGAACATTGCTATCTAATTAATTTTTTTCATAATTTATGAAGATATATTAAAAAGGAAAAGGTGTAATTGGAAAGAGGGTCAAAGAGCTAGAAGGCTGTTGAATGGTAAGAAGTAAAGTGTTTCCTCTGGGGCATCATATGAATCTTATGTTTCAAGGCAGTGACTTTTTTTTTCCCTTACAATCCGTAGTTTTGAACCAACCTTTCTGAAACCTGTTAATTAAAAATTCGAGGTACGTGCAGTGGTTCCTAATAGCAGACAGGTGGTACTTTGTGACACGCATCAAAACATTATTATTGTTACTGTATTATCATTTTAAAGATGTTTTCGTGTATCTGGAAAGTGTTTCTTTAATGTTTTTTATGCATAGAAAGTACACTATATACTATATACTAAGACCAACATATGAGTAACTGACATTAGATGTGAACCCTCCCTAACTTCTGATCTGTGTACACATTTGACTTAAAGACAGATTTAGGAACAGAACTCTTTCATAATCTGGGGGACAGCCTATACCCATTTCTTAAAACTGAAAGATGCAAGCAAGACCCAAGAAGCAGAAGAGGCCTTAGGTCTCATAAAAATCCGTTTTGCTCAGAGCTTAGTACAGCAACCAAAATTTGTCTTGAACTTAATCCAGAAGGATTCCTGGCTGAGGGAGCAGATGATCTGGATTTTAAGCAATAGTTGTGCATTTAGCTTCACTAATGAATATCTTTGACCTTATTAATATCATGCAATATCTTATTAATCTGATTGGGGAGATTGAACAAAGTGATTTTAAGATCTTCAGACTTTAAAAGGTTTTCTAATTTTATGCAGCATCTAAACTACCGTCTGCTGACTTTCCCTGAGGAGGAAATTAAGTGTTTGTTACCTCCCAGTCTCCAGTTCACCCCCATCAATATTTTCTCATTCTCTTCCACATTGGCCTCTTCCATTTGATTGAAGCTGTTACATTACTTACATTTCCCTTTTTTACTAATCTAGTTAATTTCTTCATCTGTTTTCATGATTTTTCTAGTTTTGTTCTGTTGAGATTTTTTTTCTTTCACTTTTAAATTGAGGTAAAATTCACGTAACATAGAATTAATCATTTCAAAGTGTACAGTTCCGTACTTTCACAGTGTTGTGCAACCAGCACCTCTGTCTACTTGCAAAATGTTTTCATCACCCCGAAGAAAACACCAAACCTATCAAGCAGGCACTCCCTCTCTCCCAACCGCTGGCAACCCAGTAATCTGCATTCTTTCTCTATAGATTTACCTCTTCTGGAAATTTCACATAAATGTAATCGTACAGTATGTGGTCTTTTGTGTCTGGCTTCTTTAACTTAACAATGTTTTCTAGGTTCATCCATGTATTATTAGTACTCCATTCATTTTCATGGCTGAATAATGTTCCATTGTATCGATACGCCACATTTTGTTTGTTCATTTATCCATAGATCGACTCTGGTGAGATTTTGTGTGCTAGTGAGAAAGAGTTATATGGACATCTGTAGCAGTGAGTCAGTGCACCAGAGCAGACAAATAATCCTGTCAGTTAAACCTATGTGAAGAAATAGAGGAGACCTAAGCTGACTGTGGTCATAAGTTCTGCAAACCTTGTTAAGGTGCTTTGTGGTATCAAGTATACTATCTAGTGATACCATTCATTACCATCAGTTAAGTGAACTTTAATGAGTTTTGAATGACCTATGGTTAACATAAATGTTTTTGTTTTTTTTTTAAATTGGTTCAGTTGGTAGGTTTCCACCCAGGAGCCCCTGGCTGGCACAAGTGGTTAAGCACTTAGCTACTAACTGAAAGATTGGTGGTTTGAACCCACCCAGAAGCACTTTGGAGGAAAGGCCTGGCAATCTACTTCTAAAAAATCAGAAAACCTTATGGAGTACAATTCTGTTCTGAAACACATAGGGGTGCCATGAGTCAGAATCAGCTCAATGGCAGCTGTTTCTTTTTGACATGTTTCAGAAAATCGCACATTACAAGTGTCTTACTACCTATGTAGAAATGGCTGCTAACTTGCCTTCAGCTTTTGTGGTAGAAATAGTGTGCTAAAACTGCTTTCATTCCAGGGACCAGGTAGATGGAACCGCTCCACTCCTTCCTTTCTTCGGGTAGAAGGTTTGATTGACAGGCTCACTTCATTTGTGGAGACTACTTAAAGACAGTATCAGTGGACTGGATATATAAGGGGGAATTCTTAAACATTTATTCAAAACAGGAACCTGTAATTTGTCATCTGATATAATGTAAAATAGTTGCATTAGATAAAGATAATTACATTGTATGTAAATGTATGCCTTTCTCTAATCTCTTGTACTTTATGAACTGGACACTTCTTTACTCTGCTTATGTTCAACTTCTAATAGTTATGTTTCATTTTATTTTTGCCACTGTTCCCAGTCGCTATCCGTCTTCTCTCTCTGCGTCTGTCTCTGGATGGTACAGTGTGAGATTAAGGTAGTGTAGATTACTGTTTAAACACGCTCTCGTGGAAACTTGAAGCAGTCAGAATTAAATGTCACTTTGTAGGGTCTGTCTTGTTTTCTGTTTTTGGTCTATTTGTGTTCTTGGTTACAGACATATGATTACGATTTCATTTCTTCAGCTGGAATATAACTTTTTAAGCACAATTCTGGTTTGGTAAATGAGAAGAACTGCAAGAAAACGTTTAGGTAATTTTAAATCTAGTACAGTACTCAACCATTGCAAGTAGTCCTTTCTGTCCTTCACTTCACCACTGTATCTCCTCACCTCTTCCTCCCCACCTCCCAGGGGACCTGGCTGGAGGCAGGCTAATTTCCTTTCATTTTCCGGAAAGTATGAAAATTCTTCTCATTTGAATTTTACCTTTGGGCTTTTATGGCCCTTATCTGCCTCCCTTTTTTTCCTAAACTTTCTGCGGGTTGGAATCGGTGCATTGTAGATCTGAAGTCCTCACACCTGGGCGTGAATGAGAACCACCTGGGGAACTTGTTAAAAATGCAAGAGTTTTAATCCCCGCTCCTAGGGATTCTGACTCTTCAGGTCTGTGGAAGGGCTCAGGAATGTGCATTTTAAAAAGCACTGTTGATTCTGGTTCCCAGGCTGTGGGTAACTTTGTAGTTGGGACTTCAGAGAACTAGATACAATGTTTTATTGGATCTGAGATTCCATAGTATGTAAGGTAGGCCATTATTTTACGGGTTTTATATATACATAAAATGTGTATACAAAAAATGTAGTTGTAAACCTCATCCCAATTTCAGCCATGCTAAAATGAGGGAAGCTGTGTGCACCTTAGAAATCAGTAAAATAGAGGGTTGTTGGATAAGCACTAAACCAGAATGTGGTGCATCACAGACAGTCAGCTAAAGAGATTGCAAGGAAGTCATAGCCTGTGTATAGCTAAGGGGATACAGCTCATTACATCCACGTCTTCAAGATGAAATTGCTGATTTTCTAATACCTTTGTGGCAGGAGCCGCCTGAAATTTTGCTTATCTCCCTTCTG